AGATAGATAGATAGATAGATAGATAGATAGATAGATAGATAGATAGATAGACTTAATCCTAGGCAAAGAGCGCTCATGGTCTTGAGGTACGGTATTCGCCTCTCATTCAATGAGTCACGGGTTCGAAACCTGACAGTAACGGAAAACATTCTTCTCTAAAAATGGGTTCCTCATTTACCTCATTCTCAGCTCTCTAACCATGTTTGTCATTTGTCTTCCTTTCCTCTTTCTGCCCCCCCCCCCTTTCCAACCCCCTTTTCTCGGTTCCTGATTGTTTCTACTGCTACTCCTGAATCTTTCTTACTGCTGTCTTTCAGCCACACCCCTAATCTTAGGGCAGGTAAGCCTTCTCGGATAAGAGCAAAATATCGGAGGTTCCGTGTGCAAGTTGCCCATTCTAAAGATCCCTAGGTGGTATAAAAATCAACAAGAGTCGACAACGCCCCCCCCCCCCAAAGGGCAAATTCAAAATTAATTCCTAACTTATTGAAAATGCTTAACTTGTACCCGCAAACCACTAACCTACATGATCTAAATCGTGTCGATTGGGACGTAAACCTACTTACAGTACAGTTGAGAGCAGGCGCGGTTCGTCTGTAAAGCACGGTCGTGCAGTGCCGCCCAAAATGTTTTAATGTTCTATGACGTAAAGCACTCACAATAATAAAATAAAAAAACGCCAGAAACAAACACTAGCCAAATATTATATCAAAACAAGGCTCTCGCTGGCGCCGTAACTGCCATTTCTCTTCTATAGCGCCGTAAAACATCTACTATGCCATGCCTAAATTCATGCGCTGTATCTAAACATAACAGGATAGTCAACAGTGGAAACCTGACCTATAAATCGCTCTTTGGGATAACCTAAGCGATGTCGACACTGTGGAGAGCTTGGCGGTACATTAATATTAATAAGACGGCACATCTCAAAGGCGCTTTTACCGAATAGCGCCGAACATAGCACACAGTAGGCAATCTAAAAATAAACGCCATAGACTGTGCACTATTCCATGCCAAAATTATGTGGGCCCCGGAGCAATCCAGCGGAGTGCTCAAGTGAATTGTGATTGGTTCATTGTCTTGTTGCTATTTTAAGTGACTCTGTGACCATGAACCTGAGGTGATATACTTAAGTCGCCGTGAGGTTGCAGGTTAGGGGGGTTTGTTGAGCCGCTGTCCCGACTTTGTGTCCTTGGGAAAGGCACTTTACCCAAATTTTCCTCTCTTCACCTAGGTATAAATGAGCACCCGGCCATAGACAGTGAAAGATCTTGTCTGTATGTTAGTGTTTTAGCGCCTATAAATGGCAGCTTGCACTGTATGCGTCCCAGACAATTGAAATTGTTTCAGAATGCTACCAAATCTACCGAAATGATAATATAGAGCGGGGGCTCTTATGGCCTAGAATTTTAGGTGGTGACCTCTCTTTCAAAGGTCCCAGGTTTGAACCCGTGTAGCGACCGGAAAAAATATTCTCTAAAATTGTCTCCTTCCATCTCCTTTCCTGCTCTCTAGCAATGTTCTGTCGTCTGTTTTCGTCCCCTCTTCCTGCCCCCACTCCCTCACCTACTTTGCCCCCCCCCCCCCCCCCTCTGGGTTCCTGACTCTTTCTGCAGCCTTTCTACTGCTACTCCTTGGCTCCTTCTTACTGCTGTCTTTCAGGAACACCCATGATCTCCTTGTAGGATCTTCTGGTAAGATCTATACCTAGCCTTCTAAGACAAGGGCGAAAAATGTCGGAGGTCCCGAGTGCAAGTTGCGATCGCTAAAGATCCATTGGTGGTCAAAAACGATAGGAGTAGGCTTCGGCCGCCACCCGGGCAAAATTGAAAATTTCATACCCACTGAAAAAGTTTAGTGTGTCCCGCGCGCTCATATGACTATGCAGTTGCGAGCGCCGTAAAACACTTACTAGAAAAAAATAGAGCGGAGATTCGCACAAATAATAGTAGTATTAGTAGTAGTAGTAGTATCATTATTACTATTATCTACCTTTTATGTCTGTCACCGTATCCTCCTATTCTTTGTGTGTGAAGAATTCAAGTCTGGGAACATCACGTGGGATGACGAAGACAGCAACAACGCCAACAGGAAATCGGGACATCTTCCTTTTGGCGTCTACAATGAGGATACGGCAGTCAACTACTGTTGTCGGTAAGGAGAGAGAGAGAGTACTGTGACCTGCTTGAGCTGAGATGAGATGAGATGAGATGAGGTGAGATAAGATGAGGTGAGGTGAGGTGAGATGAGGTGAGGTGGTGTGGGTGGGGTGGGGTGGGATGAAGAGAGGTGAGGTGAGGTGAAGTGGGGTTAGGCGAGGTCAGGTGGGGTGAGGTGGGGTGAGGGGAAATAGATACGATAAGATACGATAAGATAAGTACAGTGAGATGAGATGAGATGAGATGATATGAAATAAGGTACTACATTTTGTACGATTTTTCAGTAAAATCTACATGGAAATGTGTTTTTATAGGGACATAAAAGGCGTTGTGCCAAAAAAACACAAAATGCCAAATCGGAGGAAAAGGCCGGTTTCTAGGATTTAATACTTCTAACGAGTGCTTGATTTCACCACAACACTTCACTGTTACTATTATTTAGGAGGAGGGCCTTAACCCTGCCTGTTACTTGTTAGGGCAAACCAGAACTTAGAGGAATACAACGTCTCTGCAGTAAGATGGACTTGATAAAAATGCTCCCTTCACAGGAATCGAACTTTAAGTCTTCTGTAAGTGGCGGCATAGCTCCTAACCTCTACACCACAGACGTTAGCAACTGAATTGTTTTAAAATGGATCTAGAAGAATATCAATGATTATTATTATTATTATTTTCAATCCATCTGTCAACTGTACAGAAATGACTCACCATCCGAAAGCCCAATCCTCCTCCCAGCAGCATCACCGTTCTACCTCTACCGCTACAAGGGAAATTGTCAAAGGGTAAGAAGACATTCACGTAGCCTAGTTTTCCTAATATTGCTTTTGTTGTTGCTGTTGTTGTTGTTGTTGCTTTTTGTTGCTTTTTGTTGCTTTTTGTTGTTGTTGTTTTAATCATTGTCGCCGTTGCTGTTGTTGTTATTATTGTTGGATGTTGTTGTTATTTCTGTTGTTATTATTGTTGCTGTTGTTATTGTTCTCGTTGTTGCTGCTGATGTTATTGTTGTCCCTTTTGTTGTTGCTGTTATTATTATTGTTATTGTTGTTGTTGTTGTTATTGTTGTTGTTGTGTGTGTGTGGTAGCCTATCCATTTGAAATGTTTGGAGCTCTTTAGAGCGTGCTATTCGCCAGGGCCACTGCCTCTCTTGGGTAGTGGGTGAGGCAGTCCAACCTCCCTGAATCCTCCCCAAAGAGATGCCACCGCCGGACCTTTCTGGCGGGACATCTCTGCAGCCAGTACTCCAAATCTTGGGGCTCCTCGCGGCGCAATGGACAGATTTAGGTCCGATGGTTTGTCTATTCTATTTTTGTAGTTGTAGGCCCTCAACCCAGAGAAGTGACCGGTTTTGATTTTTGCCAGTAGTGACTGGTCTCTGCGGGACTTTAATTGAGCCTTCCATTTTAAGGAAATTGCCCTCTATATTTCCCTCGTCCGCGAGTGGGATATCGGGGGGTCTTTTGTGGTCAGTTTTGTCTGGGCGCATACACTTTCATAAGTTGTTGTTGCTACTGCTGGCATTGTTTTCGCTGTGGCTGTTGTTGTTACTCTTGTTGCGGTTGTTGTTGCTACTGTTGTTGTTGTTGTTGTTGTTGTTGTTGTTGTTGTTGTTGTTGTATTAGTGTGTGGCCAGCGGATTTCGATTGCGGCAAAGGAGTCAATAATTTGTCTGTCTCGTCTAATAATAACAATAATAATAGTAATAATAATAATAATAATAATAATAATAATAATAATAATAATAATAATAATAATAATAATAATAATAATAATAATACCTGTAATTGATCAACGCTTTTTTTCAGTAAAAATTCACCGAGAATTTAATTTTTAAAACATGTCTATGTGGATTTAACTGAAAAACGCTGATTATAGGCACAAAAATGGTAAATAATAATATGCAGTTTTGAAGGATTCTCAAGCTTTGAAAGTCACCTAACTTTGGAGGTCAATTTTTTTCTAATTCTATCTCTGAAACAAGGCGACCTCCCATCTCCGTCAATAGCAAATATCTCGACATCTATTCAAGATAGATGAGTATTTTTCATAGAAATAGAAAGCAAAAGAAATGGGAACCCCTAAGATGACACCAGTTACTCAACTTTCCGAAAAACATTACGTGCGCTTGATTCTACCGCGTCATGACACAGAGTTTTTGGTAGGTGGTAAACGCCCCACCCCACCCCACCCCCAAAAAATATTTAAAATTTTAATTTTAAAAAATAAATAAGTAAAATTTAAAATTAAAATTAAAAAACCAACAATGTTCTGTTTATTTTCCCACTAGGTTGGCCACATGAAGGTGACGGAGGAGGTGGTCGTGTTCGATGACGAGGACAGAAGTAACGCCAACTCTGCGTTTGGGGAGCACCCGATGGACAGTGGGAGCTCCGGTGACCACACTCTCCACCTCTGTCTTTACGAGCCGCTCTAAACCTCTGTGCTGCTGCCGCTTGTCCGACGCACTCTCCCTGCTGGGGAAAAGTCATTCTGACCAGTTCTGACACAAAGACTTGTTTTTCTTTTCTTTTTTTTCTTTTTTTTTTTCCCTCCCCTGTATTTGTTTATCTTGCTACAAGACACATTTTTGTTGTAGGAATTTTTGAAGGAAGGAAAATAACATGGTGGTTTTATTACGTAAAATGCAGCGGCTAGCTCTGTGAAGGTCTCGTATATACCATCTTACATGTTAGGCGCTCCTAGGGTAACCAAACGAATCATTTATTTTAGAAATAGACAGTACCGATTAAAACTATCAAATAAATCGAAATATGTTATCGGGTAGTAAAAAAATGTTTGGTTCCTTCACTCGTGAGTCCATTTCTGAGACTGAGTTGGGTCAGTGTGTAGCATAGCAATACTAAGAGTTGTCGGTTGTGACCGGTCTTTCGTTTATTATGTTGTCTAGTGGCCGGTACGATTTTCTCTCGTGCACAGAAGAAGAGAAATCACGGACACATCTACTGTAAATAAACAATTGAGAATGGCTGTGTTTTGTACATACACCACCGTCTTGCATTGTTTTGAATTTTTGTTTTGTTTTAGCAGTTTTTTGTTGTTTTTTGTGCGTTTTTGTGTGTGTCTCTGTTCGTAGTTTTGGATTTTTTGTTGGTTTTATTTATTTTATTTTTTTTTTGGGGGGGGGTTGTTTTTATGTAGGTGTTTTTTAATATAGGTTTTCTTTTGAGCCTCAGAAGCCTTTCAAGGCCAACCGGGGTTGAGAGGGATGAAACATCACAGCAGAAAGACTGAGATACTTGAAAAACAAATTTCTCCTCGCACGGGAATCGATCTCAGGTCTTTAGCGCGTGATGGTGAACACTTCATCGAGTGACAGCAAATAGACTCTCTCTCTCTCTCTCTCTCTCTCTCTCTCTCTCTCTCTCTTTCTTCTATCTCTCTCTCTCTCTCTCTCTCTCTCTCTCTCTCTCTCT